TATACACATATAAATGTTTCATTGTAAATTGGTTGAAGGTTTATAGAGCAGATCATTAGTTTTCCATCCAACAAGTCATAACTTTCTTTCATCTCTATGATTGAAGTCAATGTCACATCAAATTACCTTACTTTCTCCCTATGTGTTTTGTTTCCTGTCTTTCTTTCCCCCCAACCTTTCTAAATTTGGTCCTCAGGTAAATGCTATTCTTTTGATCTTGAATGGTTGACCATTCTATTGTGTGCATATCTCACTAGTCTTGTTTTCCCCACCCTCTTTTTCCATTTTCTTGAAGGATAGTCAATAGTTCCAAGATGGAGGTTATTTTGTGTTTTTCACTTAATTTTTAATACTTCTTTTTGTTCACTTAAGATGTATTTTAGATACATTGACAGGCATTTTCCTGAATGCCAATGATGGTAGTAGTTTAATATTGATTTTCAGAAAATAAAAAAAAAAAAGGATCAGTCACTCCAAATCTCAAAATGTAGTGATAAAGAAGTAAATATTTCTAGTGAAATATTAGAAAATAACCAACTGTCTAAATGAAAAAAAAACTTAATTTATAACCTTCCTAAACTTATACATTCAAAGTTAAGTATTTCTAAAATGGCTGATTTCAAATAGCCCATGTGAAGTCAACTGACAGGAACAATAAAAATTTAACAACTGGTTCTCATGAGCTTTTTCTACCATGCCATCAAAAATGTACTGTGTACTATGGTCATTTTATTTACTTTTTATTGTATTTCAAAAAAGAAGATGTCAGAGGAGATTCCCTTTGAATTTATGTCACCATGAAGGAAGTGACATCCTTTCTGCATGCATATTTGTTTCAACTGTACAGCTGCCTCATATATTTTGAATGAACACAGTTGGTTATTTTCTAACAGTTCACTGGAAATATTTGACTGTGTAAACTCTAGTTCTGGAGTGTGATCAGTGGGCAGTAATTATACAATTCAAAGAGCGTGTGACTAAAATAAACAAAATAAAACAAGAACATGTGGCCTAAGAGACAAGTAAATTGAACTCAGTCTCTGAACTAATAAATTGTATGACCTGGGGAAAATTGTTTATAATTTCTGTATCTATACAATTGTTGTAGCCTCACTTTAGCGTCTAATCATGTATTAAATTTGCTTCTTGGGATAGCTTTCTGTTATGGAGATTGGATTATGGAATATCGATTCCCCGCCCAACCCTCCAATAGCTTTCTACAGGATTATTTTCAAAAATATAAATTGAAAAATGTTTCCAATGTCTGCTTCAATAGGG